AAAGACAGAGAGACAGAAAGTGAGAAATTACTCCCTCAGGGGAGATGGCCACACCACAATCCCTTCTCCTCCATTCTCCTCTCAGGATCTTGGGCATGCACTCACACGTGCCCAGTGCTGAGTTCAAGCCACCTGGTCCAGGACTGGAAACCCTGGTCAACTACATGGGAGTCCAGCGACATAGCAATTACGCTAACTGCTGGTCCCAATACATGTCCTTTGTTGGATGTGTATTTTGCAAACCTTTTCTCTCAAGATATAGCTTTTTATGTTTGTAATCATGTTTTTTTTTTTCTTTTTTAAAATTTTTATTATCATCATAATCTTTTTTTTTATTGTAACCATGTTTTTTGAAGAGAAACATTTTCAACTTTGATGAAGTCCAATTTGTGATTTTTTTTCTTTTATAGTTCAAGAACTTCATGTTGTGATATTTAAGAATTCTCTTTCAGATCTATGATTTCTTTTAGAAGTCTTCTGATTTTAGTTCTTAAATTTAGGTAAGTGACTCATTTCAGGCTAACTTTTTACATGGTGGGATTGCAGGATCAGCATTCATTTTCCCTCGCTTATGGCAAGGAATGGCTGACAGTGCTGGCTGCCCTGTTGGTTTGTTCCCAGATCTGGGTCTGATTTCTGAGACCCTCAAAGGTGCTATCTGAACAGCATTTGCATCCTATTGTTTTCTTTCTCTTTCCTTTTCTCATTCCTTTTCCTTTCCTCTTCTCCCTTTCCTTCCCTTTCTTTTTCTTTCTTCTTTCCTTTCCTTTCCATTTTTTATTTGCTAGAGGGTGCATTTGCCCCCTGGGAGAGACAGAGGGAGAGGGAAAGTCAGAAAGCATCACACATGGGGGATAGTCATGTATAATCCCTTCTCCATTTTGGGTGCCCACACACACTTACCTGGAGTGTTTCTTTAAGTCTCCGGGACTTGATCTGTATTCTCAGCATGTGGGATCCAGCTGCCTTAACCATCATGTCAGTAGCTGGCCTGCATTCTAGTATTTCGACAGTCACGAATGTAAGAATTTAGTGTCAAGTTTCATTTTACCCTCTAGACTGGTCTCCCTTATTGAGTGCCCACTAGGCACCAGTAAGTATATTATATAGTATATTAACTACTGGAGTTAGGCAAAAATAAGAAGCAACCCTTGCTTTAAAGAAAACACAAGGGGCTGGACAGTGACACAATGGGTAAAGGCATCACTCTGTGAGGCAGACCACATAGGAAGGTTGCAGGTTCATGTTCAGAGACCTCCCTGAGTAAGCCATGCACACGAGTACCCATGGTCTGAGGGTGGATCATGGCATCAGGTCCCTACAGGGGACTTTCTCTGTCTTTTTTCTCTCTCTCTCTTCCACTCTTTCTCTGTGTATCTCTTGCTTACGGAAGAATTGAGTCTGCATTTCTAACAGTCTCCTCCATTTTGGATTCAGTAGGAGAGACATTCCATACTACCAACACTCTCCCAGAAGATGCTGCTGTTGCTGGACCAAGGACCCAGAGTGTCTGGAGAGAAGAGGCAGGGTAAATTGTGCAATGGGCTTCTTGGTCTTCCTCATATCTTCTCACCTTATAACAATTACATTTTCATATACAATTTCATTTTTAAAAAGTTTTTCTTTAAAGTTTGAATAGTGCTATTTTGTTGTCTTTTTAGTTCATCTAAATGATAGAAAGTGAAAATAAATAAAAGTGACATTGGGGATGGTATCATCAATACAAACAAACTGTATTTTTGTCAGAAAGACTGAAATCACCCAGTATGTGGAAAAAGAGCCTTATTCTGGGACCAGCAGTTAGCATAATGGGTATGTCGCTGGACTCTCATGTAGTCGACCGCGGTTTGCGTCCCGGACCTGGTGGCTTAAAACTCACGCCAGGTGCATGTGCGTGCATGCCAGGTGCATGTGCATGCATGCCCAGGAGCCCGAGAGGAGAATGGAGGAGAAAGGATTGCGGCGTGGCCATCCCCCCCTGGAGGGGGGTGATTTCTCGCTTTCTGTCTGTCTGTCTCTCTCTGTCTGTCTGGCGAGCGCACGTGCTCTATAGCAAAAACCTCCTAAAAAAAAAGAGCCTTATTCTCTTTCCACAGGATACTCTTTGGACTTATCTTCCATGTTTGAATAGAATAGAAAAAAAAATACAATAATCTGCAAATTAAATACAATATACTGCAAATGAATTGCTGAAGACTGTTTAAAAGATAATCTACCCTATGCTTTTTTAGGTTGAGTGGTGAATAGAATCCCACTGTAGCAGTGCCTAGGTCTCTTTCCAGAACCCATCATGTACAAAAGGAGAAAACCACTGATAAGATTTTGTTTCAGAGTTCTTTCAGAGATGAATCTAAAAGAAAAAAAAATGCTGTGAATGAAAGCACAGTTCATTTCAGCTTATTGGATTGGATCAAAGTAGCTCTGCTACCAGGTGGGATTCATCACTATTTCCAAAAGCTCAGGTAGGTAGTGCACCAGACCCTGTATTTCACATAGTAGGCATGGAGGATGTCCCTTGGTAAATTTTGTATTTACTTTTTGGTAAAGTGGATTCTTAAACATGACATGGATAGCTGTCCAGTTTTGTGCCTCCACTCCAAGAGACATTTCAGCATGTGAGAAACACCAGAGAAGGACCAGCAGTTGGCATAATGGCTATGTCACTGGACTCCTATGTAGTCAACCACGGCCATCCCCCCTGGGGAATGGTTTCTTGCTTTCTGTCTCTCTGTCTCTCTGTCTCTCTTTCTGAGGAGTTCAGGCGCCCTATAGCAAAAACTTTTCCAAGAAAAAAAAAGATAAAAGAACCAAAAAGGCTAAAGTGGAACTTACTCTTCCATTAGAATATGAGTCACCTTTAAAAATGATTATGTTTTTCTAAGGATAGTTAGTAAATCTCTGAATATTCTTTCCTTTATTTCCAACACCTACAGGAATAAGCCACCAAGTTCAAAGTTTGACAAAAGTCTACGTTTTTGCTTTGCTTTGTTTTGAAATATTCTTTCAAGGAACTTTGGGAAAGAGCAGTAAAAGGGGCTTAGGGCAAGCCCAGTGTGCGGGTGCAGGTCTCTAAGGTGCACCAACTGGGGGCAGAGAAAAGCTATCGCATATTTTAACACGCAAAGTGCTGGCATTCCATCTTACCAGCAGTGAAAGGTTTACGCAGCATCACATTTTCCTTGAGCAACTTAAGTAACGAACGCATTTAAAAGACAATATAATTCACCCGATCTTCCCCTACCAGCCCCACACGCAACGAGGGGCCCGTGGTCTGCCTGAACAATTACAGTTGCTCGGTACTCTGGAAGGATCAGCCAGCGTGTGCCTTCCTCATAAAACCCTCCTCTCTTGTAGAGGACCCGCCTGGGTCCTGGAGGCAGCAGGGCCAGGCTCCCGGAGTTCGCCACAGGCTGCGGGAGCTCGTCCCTCCGGCTCACCCTTTCACCCCTTCTTCACCCCGGGTCGCCACAAGAGGTGGCGCGAATTTTCCGCCCACTCGGGAGGCTGTGCTGGCCGGCTCAGGAATTACAGGGCCTTCCCGTTTCGTTGAGCTCTGGAATCTGATTCCTCCCCAGCCCAGCCACTCTGCTGGGACGCTGGGGGCTCCAAAGAGGCTTGGTTCCAGGACATTTGGATCACAGACACAACCAACCACCAGGGAGATCTTGCCTAGACCTCTCCCAACCCCCCCGCCTCTGGTCCCGGAGACGCCCAGCAGCTCGGCGGCCCCGGGCGCGCAGAGCCAGAGCGCTCCGCAGCGAGTGCTGAGGGGCAGTCCAGGGCATCCCCGCGGCAGGGACAGAAGGCGAGATCGGCCGCTGAAAGGGTCGGCCTGGCGGGAGCTCCGCCCAGCACCCGGGCTGCCTGGCTGGGCGACCAGCACAGTGAGTGGCAGCGGCGAAGGGCGCGGCGCGGGCGGAGGCGCAGGGGCTGGGTGGGGGGGGGGTGGGGGGG